ATAATAATTCTCTCTTCTTACACACAGCAGCAGGGAAATCCCAATTTCACGGCGATGGACAGGCTGGAGAGCTGGGCAGAGAGGAACCTGATGAAGTTCAACCAGGGCAAGTGTTGGGTGCTGCCCCTGGGGAGGCCCCATCTGGAGCACTGGGACCAGTTCTGGGCTCCCCAGTTCCAGAAGGACAGGGAACTGCTGGAGAGGGGACAGCAGAGGCTACAAAGATGATGAGGGGCCTGGAGCATCTCTCTTAGGAGGAAAGGCTGAGGGACTTGGGCCATTTTAGTCTGGAGAAGAGAAGGCTGAGGGGGGAATCTGATCAACACCTAGAAATACTTCAAGGGTGGGTGTCAAGAGGATGGGGCCAGGCTTTTCTCAGTGGTGCCCAGTGACAGGACAAGAGGGAATGGGCACAAATTGGAACATAAGAAGTTCTATCTAAACATGAAGATGAACTTCTTTCCTGTGAGGGTGGCAGAGCCCTGGAAGAGGCTGCCCAGAGAGGTGGTGGAACAAATTTATTTAAGAAATGTTCAGAAGAGCATGAAGTGTTTCCATATACAAGAAAAATCACGAAGCCGGGTACTCAAATCCTTCTCATTAATGAGCTTAATCTCTAGAGTTGAGGGAGACAACACACAAAATACTAGTTAGTGGTTACAGCAAGGGGTAAAAATCACACTGAAACTTCCGCGAGGTGGTTGTATATCGATGAACTGACTTGGGGACAAACAAAAAAAGGGATATTCCTGTGCTACATTCCATATCATCAGCCCCTACTGCATCAAACCACATATTTGTGATGCTTTAGAAGCAGCTGAACTTTTTGTGTGGGCAAGGTAACAAATCTGGCTCTCATCAAAGGAAAAATATGAGAGATTTTCTGCACTGTGCCTTCCCTCAAACTCCCGACAGCTGTACACTTGAGAAAGCTTTTCAGAAGTCCCTCCCCGGTGCTGTCATCCATCTGAGGCTTGTTGCTAACAAGAACTTGCTACAAGACCTTGAGGGGCTGGAGCGGGTCCAGAGAAGGTCAATGGAGCTGGTGAAGGGTCTGGAGCACAAGTCTTGTGAGGATAGGCTGAGGGAGCTGGGGTTATTCAGCCTGGAGAAGAGGTGGCTGAGGGGAGACCTTCTCACTCTCTACAACTCCCTGAAAGGAGGGGGTAGCCAGGGGGGGTCGGTCTCTTCTCCCAAGGAACAGGCCATGGGACAAGAGGAAATGGCCTCAAGTTGCACCAGGGGAGGTTTAGGAGATTGGGAGGAATTTCTCCATGGAAAGGGTTGTGAAGCCTTGGCAGAAGCTGCCCAGGGCAGTGGTGGAGTCCCCATTCCTGGGGGGATTGAAAAGCCGGGCAGACGTGGTGCTGAGGGACATGGGTCAGTGGTGGGTTTGGCAGTGTTGGGTTGATGGTTGGACTCGATGGTCTGAAAACTCTTTTCCAACCGGGGCGATTCTGTGACTCCAGAACCACTTCCTCAGCTCAGGGAACCCCTCAAGCTCCTGCAATAACTTTAAATTGTGGCCAATACCGGCCCAAACCGAGTCCTTTACGTTCAGCCCAGCCGAGGGGCTGGTACAAAGGCACGGACGGGCCGGAGCGGGGGTGCTCAGAGGGGCGGGAGGACGGGCCAGTCCCGCTCCCTGAGGAACCGGACCGGGCCGCGGCCCAGCACCCCCTCACAGCGGCGGGACCCGGCCCCGTACGAGCTCCCCCGCCGCGCCGCGGGGCCGCTGAGGCCTCCAGCCGCCCTCCCCTCGCTGACTCACCGTTGGAGGTGAAGTAGAAGACCATAGCGGCGGCTCTCTCGGCCCGCCCGGCCCGTGGCTCCGCACGGCGGCCGCTCTCCCGCACCACCAGCACCGGCCGACCGGATGGTTTGGGACCGGGGGCGGAACTGAGGAAGGCGCATGCGCCGGCACCCTCCCCTGCGGGCGGTGAAGCCGTTCCGAGCACTGCGCTTGCGTGCGGCTGCCGGGAGGGGGCGGTGACGGCCCCTTTGCGCATGCGCAGTCTGCCCGAGAGCGGGTGGCGCTGTGCTCTGCGCATGCGCACTCCCCCCGCCTATTGCGCATGCGCGGGGGTGCTGCGGGCCCCTCTGTGTTGCGGGGTATCCCAGAGGTCTCGCGTAGAGGACCAGCACAGTTTATTATATTTTTTTTTCCTGCGTAAGCCTATCTAACCTCCTGAGCGTGCTGCCCGGCTTGTTGCGGGCTGCAGGGTTTTGCTTTTCAATTGCCAGCACTGCTTTAAGGAGGATGCTTTTCGCAGCAGGGCTCTGGTGGCCCAGTTGAAAGCAAAAGCCGCGCTGGGCACCCCTTTGCCGCCCCCTCAAGCCTTTCTAAACGCCTCTCGGTTCACTCCGTCCCTTCGTGGCCCGAAGTTTGCCGCTGTACGGCGCACGGACTACAGCTCCCATGGTGCTGCGCGCCCTCCCCGCAGCGCGCAGGCCGCCTTGAGCTCGCGAGGCACGCTGGGAGTCGGAGTCCCGCTGGGGATGCCCGTGTGGCGAGCCCTGCTATCTGATCGGCTGGGAAACGGGGGAGGGCGGGAGCAAAGCGGCGCGCCGCGGGTAGGCCAATGGCGGCGAAGGATGGGTGAGCGACGAGGCGTTGGGCCAATGGCAAGGCGAGGGCGGGCGCGCGGGAAGAAGGCGCGCGGCTTTGAAGGCGCGGGAGCGATGGCGGCGGCGCTGAGGTGAGGGAGAGCGGCTGGGCTGGTTTTTCGGGACCAGTGATGGGCCGGGGCGCAGGGCTTGTACAGGGGATCGACGGGGCGGGTATCAGGGCCTGGTGCGGTTCTGAGGCGCCTGCAGGAGCTGAGGGGTATTGGGAAGGGTCGCTGGGCCCGGGGCCTGGTGGGGTGTGAGGGCTGTGAGGCCCTGGGCTGAGGGTCGGGGGAGTGATGGCGTGAAGGTGTGACAGAGCCCCCTGGGCTGCATCCCCAGCAGGGCTGGGGGGGGATTCTGCCCCTCTGCTCCGCTCTGGGGAGACTCCCCCCCCCAGTGCTGCCTCCAGCTCTGGGGCCTCAGCACAGGAGAGACATGGAGCTGTTGGATGGGGCCAGAGGAGGCCCCGGAGATGCTGGGAGGGCTGGAGCCCCTCTGCTGGGAGGGGCGGCTGAGAGAGTTGGGGGGATCAGCCTGGAGAAGAGAAGGCTCCGGGGAGACCTTGGAGCCCCTGCCAGTCCCTAAGGAAGGGGGGCTTTTTACAAGAGCATGTAGTGGGGGGATGAGGGGTAATGGCTTCAAACTAGAAGAGGGGAGATTGAGATTAGATATTTGGAAGAAATTTTTCACTATGAGGGTGGTGAGAGCCTGGCCCAGGTTGGCCCGAGAAGCTGTGGCTGCCCCATCCCTGGAGGGGTTCAAGGGCAGGTTGGAGGGGGCTTGGAGCAACCTGGGCTGGTGGGAGGTGTCCCTGCCCAGGGCAGGGGGTGGCACTGGGGGGGCTTTAAAGATCCCTTCCCAACCAAACCATTTTGATTCTACTGAGGTGTGGCCCTTCTGGGGCAAGGGGCTGGCTGGGAACTGGACTATGATGTTGTGGGAATTGCTGTGGGTATTGAGCTGCTGTTCGTGGAGTTAATTGTGACATCCTCAGGTTAATGGTGTGAGTGATACGAATTGCTCCCCCCACACATGCATCTGGGCTGTGCCAAGAGTGTGGCCTTCTCCTACCTTCTCCCTTTCATCCACACCCGATACCTCATTTCCCTGGTCCCTGCAGGCTCGTTGTTGTTGCCCTGTGCTTCCAAGGCATTGCCTCCCCCTCTCTTGAGCTTCCCCTCTCTCCTGAAGTTCTTCAACTCCTGCTGCAGCTCCTGGCTCCATCCTCTGCCATGTCCTTGGTGTTCCTGGGCTTGGCAACAGCTTGTTGTGTCTGGGCTGTCATCAGTCACTTCTTCCCCCAACACTGCAGTGCCTTAACGCGGGCAGGTTAGGAGGAACTTCCCCCTGCTGGCAGATGACTGAATAAATTACTCTTTCTAGCAGTTTATGAATATTTATCAGTAGATCTTCTGGGACACGAGATATTTGTTTATTCTGGGGTTTCAGTTTTGAAGCGCCACGTAACAGAAAAGGGAATATTGTGCCATAATTATCTCAAACAGGTGGCACAAGCAGCCTCGAGTGGTTTAAATGGAAACTGTGTTCATGAAGGCTAAAAAAAAATAGGTTTGTGGTATTTGGTGAGGAGGGAGAGGAACTCTGAAAGTGTGTTGGGTAAAGAGGTGTCTCAGCTGGGAGGTAAAAGCTGCTGTGAAATCCTCACAGGGGGAAAAAAGTGACCCTGAACACGAGCAGGAGTGAGATTTCCAGGAACCACATTAGAGAGGTCTGGAATGAGCTTTGCAGAGGAGTGTGGGACACAGAGAACACAACACATTTCTGAGTTATCTGACTGTTTTTAAAAGAAGGACTTTAGTGTGCGTTTGTCCCTGATGACAGAATTGGGCTGGATCTGGAAGATCCTTTCTTTGTGCCCTTGTTTTATGTCTTATGCTCAACCCAGACACAGCCCCACGGCGTTCTAGACTCTGCATGTTTGCTTCCCAGCCTCCCTTCCTTCTTTAATAAGTATTTTTTGTTGTTGTTGCTTAGTTTTGTTTTCTTATTGGAAATCTATTTCAAGCTATTAATTATTGTTCTTTCAGGCACCGTGGTGAGGAAATGGCAGCCCTCACCCTGCAGAAGAGGAGCCGTGGCTCTACTGATTCGGATGAGTATGTTGACTTCTTCTATTTTTTATTTCTAATAAACCCACCATAATTGCTGCACATAGAATAAAATACATGTTTAAAATCCCTGAGAGCTTTTAACGTAGAATAGAAAGAGTACCTGATGGAATTCCACAAGGGCAAGTGTTGGGTGCTGCCCCTGGGGAGGAATAACCCCATGGACCAGGACAGGTTGGGGGGGACCTGCTGGAGAGCAGCTCTGAACCCCATATCATTCTGTGACTTGGAATGTTTTATATTGTCCTGAGTATCTTGAGAGAGTTCTTCATATTTAGAGAAAATGAACATAAAAATGATATTCCATCCATAGCAGAGCCCAGGATGAGAACTGAGAGACAGCCATCATACTGAGCTGATATTTTACTTTTATTAAAGGAAAAAAAGAAGGGCCTTCAAAGTATCTTGGTTTGGCATCACCTTTCTCAAGTGCTTATCCCTGTACTTGACAGTCACACACAGACCTTGCCCTGAGTGAGTCACAAAAGCAGCACAAACCTAGAAACCTGACCAAACAAACCCCCTGATGTTTGAATTTCTTCGTGGCAATGCCTCAGGCTTTCCCGTTTGAAAAGTCTTTGAGACACGGTAGAGAAATACCCAAATCTGCAACAAATCATCTCATTAGTCTTCTGGTGTTAACAGAACAATAGTTCCTACGTTATGCATGCCTAAAAAAATTTTAGATTATTTTTTTTTCCCCCTTAAATTTGTAGTTCCTACGTTATGCATGCCTAAAAAAATGTTAGATTATTTTTTTTACCCCCTAAACTTAGTGGAGGAGAAGCCACCTGCTGAGAACAAAGCTCGTGGCTGAGCTTGAAATCCAAAAGAAGACGTTATTTCTCATTCTGCTCTGACTCCACCACCTGCACGGATTTTTCTCCCCCTTCTCCTGTGCTTCCCCCACACAAATATTTCAGGGGGAGACCAAGTGTAAAGTTTGATTTGGGACTTAGAAGGACAAATTCCTGCGATAAGGGTGTAAACACTCGCCGAGGAGACGCCTCGTGCCAAATCCATTACAGCCAAACGTGGCCTTTGTATAAATATCTAATTTTGGCCCTAGGTTCAGAGGCTGTTAGTGATTTCCTGATGAGGTTTGAGATTCTGAAACGCCTGTCGCAGTGAGGTTTTGGGGTGAGCCTTTTGGAAACTGCTGTAAAATATTGTGAGATACCCCAATTTAATCAGGATCACACAAGGGGGTGGGGGATGCACGAGATTTCTCAGAGGTACAGACCTGAGTTGACAAAGTTGGTCTGAAATAAACCAAATTGGTTTGTGGTTTTTTTTTTCCCCCTCCTTAATCCCAACTAATGCTGATCCCACCAGCAGCGTTCCAGGGGGCAGAACGTTGTTCCCAGGTGCTTTAACAAGTTCAGGCAGGAAAAGAAGATTTAAATTGTTTAATTAAAAAAAAAAAAATATGTGAAGAATTACAAGACAATCTTGGGCTTTTTAATATATGTATTTTGCTGTAATTTGTATTTGTTCCAGGGGATATAGCTGTACAGGCTACTAAGCCGAGTGAAAATTAAGTGTAATTAAGTAAAATGAGAATTGAAAAAGTCTTTCAGTGGTGCATGGGATGTTTTACTCCCTGGTTGTTTTCACAGCTCACCCTCAGCCTTTCAGACTCCGGTGAAAAAAGCCCTGACTGGCTTCGCTGCCGGCGGCTTTCTGCCCAAGAAACCCAGAAATCACCACTTTGCTTCTCAAATAAACTGGTCCTCGGGCTCCAGCAACGATGAGTCGGGGGAGAATGAGGCGGTGGCGGAGAAGGCAGTGCTGCCCAGGAGGCTGGATATCTCACCCCTCCAGGCAGCTGGGGCTCCTGCAGCCTCGGGGGGCTCCTCGGGGCAATCCTCCCCCAAATCCGCTGCCTCCTACAAGCCCCTCGTGCCCGTGATGTCTTTTTACAGCAAGGAAAAGCGGTACCTTACCCCTCTAGAGAGGAAAGAACTGAAGGAGAACTGCTTTTTGAGGGAGAGGAGCAGGGATGACAACCTGCCGGCCGCCAGCAGGACTGAGAAGAGGAACTTGAGCAGGCCCCCCAGCTCCAAGCCCCCCAAACACGCCAAAGCTCCCCCCACAAGCCTGAAGAAAGCAAAGGCAGATGTTCCTCCAGGAAAACCCAGCGCAGAGAAAGAGAACGTGAATATCCTGGTGAAAAAGAAGAGGGATTCTCCCTGCCGGGTCCTGAGCAGGATGGTGAAACCTGCCTTCAAACTCCAGCTGGGAGCGGCGTTTTTTTCCGCCAGGAAGAAATCACACTCCAAAAAACCACTTGGAGATGCTAAATCTCTCCCGGCTGACCCCAAATCTCTGCAGGAAAACGCTCAGCCCGCGCCGCTGACAACTAGCAAGTCGAATTCAGGTGATAAAACCCAAATTCTCAAGGTGGAGGGCATCTTGAGGAGCATTCCTGTGCCTCAGGAGAAGGGAAATGCCAACAGGGAGGACTCTGTGAGCGGTGAAAATCCAGAGGGAGGTTCGGTCGGGGATGGAAAAAGATCCCAGGGGAAAAACGGGAGCAACCTGGGTCCAGTTTGTGCTTCCCAGAACCCAGGGGACAGCGATGGAGAGAAGGGGGTGAGTAAACGTGTCCCCCAACACCAGGGGTTGAGGTGACACACACATACAGCGTCCTGGGAGGGACAGACACAGGGTGTTTATTTAGGTATTTTAGTGGATTTTTGCCTAAAAAGGCTTCCACAAATTTATTCTTGCCTTATAAAGGTATAAAACTGGGGTAAACCTCCAGGAAGGTCTTGTCAGCATCCCTATCTGTTGCTATTATTATAAATATATATAATATATAAATATATATAATATATAGATATATTATATAAATAATATATTTATGATGGCTGAAAGTTTTTTGCATGAAGCTTTTGCAAAAGCCAATATATATCTTGGTTCCTCCCCGCTTGTGATAAAGGGCAAAGCTGAAAAAGACGTTTTTCAGCAATTTATTTTCTGTTCTCTTCTTGTTTTAATAAATATAACCCACGTCTGACCTCACTGAGCACCGGGGGAGGTCAGAGCTGGAGGAAGGAGGCGTTTCTCAGGAGCTGTGGGCTCTGCAAAGCCCAGTTTGGTTTTCCTC